TAAAAAGAGTTAATAAATAAGAGTTTTCTGGTTACAAACAACAGAGAATTCCAAAGATTCCTTGGTTAGTTGAATGGCACAAAAGCCTGACGGTCAAACCCTGCTTTCAAAAGATTTCATAATCTATAGTGTGTGCTTAGTTATAAGCTGAACTTTTGATTCCTTGCCCCTGGAAACAAAGAGATATCTCTATTTCAGCAATCAAACAAGTGATCTGGGTTCAAATCATGGCGTGTGTCCCTTGAAAAAGTTCAGTTTCTCAGAAATAGACTCACAGACATAGAAAACAAACTTATGGTTAACAAAGGGGAAAGGGGGAAGGGAGGGATAAATTAGGAGTTTGGGATTAACAAATACAAACTACTATATATAAAATAAACAACAATGACCCGCTGTATAGCACAGGGAACTATATTCAATATCTTGTAATAACCTATAATGGAAAATAATCTGAAAAAGAATACATACATATAAATATATGTACATATGTATATATAAATATATACTTTGTTATATACCCGAAACTAACACATTGTAAATCAACTATACTTCAATTAAAAAAAAAAAGTCCAGTTTCTTGTCCCTCTGGAAATAGAAACAGCCACTCCAGTCATAATCCCATGATACTGAACAATTTATATCTTACTTTGTTTCTTGATTTAGCAATTTGTCTGTGGACTGGGTACATATGCAACAGATGGGAAATAAGTATGTGTCAAATGCTATCCCAACACTAATACATAGATATCTGATCATCTTTTGGACCTTAAAAAGATGGGGTTAACACAAACATCAGAGAGACCAAACACAGTGGCACATCAGAGGCGATGGCAGTCAGAGCTAAATCCTTACTAACAGTAATACCTAATTTATATCGACACCTTCCACATGTCAGATGTTACGCTAAGACTTTGACATGCATTGCCTGTTGCATTTAATCCTCACAGCAACCCTCTGGGGTAGGGACAGCTATTGTCAACTCTCACTTGGTAGATAAAGAAACAGGTTCAGAGAGCGTCACCCAAGTGGAAAATGATGAAGCCAGGATTTGAACAGCACTGATCAGAGCTGCATTCAATTGTATGCAATAGGAACCAGACTTCAGTTGCTTAACCAAATAAGGGTTTAATTTTTCTTACACACCAAGAAATCCAAGCATAGAGAACTGAGGGCTCATACATCAGCTCAGGAAGTCTTCAAAGACTTAAAGACCCAGTTGCCTTCTCGCTTCCATAGGCACCACCCTTAGCTTGTGGCTGTTGTCAGGAGAGGGCTGCTCCACAGAGGCACTGCACAGAGGCACTGCATCTGTAGTGAAGCAGAAAGAAGCAGAAAAGCAAGGGACAAAGGACATGCTAGCCGAATCTGTTCCTTTTATCAAGAAAATGATAGCTTTTCCAGTGGAACTCCATTTATAAACTAGTTGACCAGGACAGGTTAACACAGCCATTCTAGCTACAAGGAAGTATGGACATGTGAATATTTTTAACCTACCATATTGTTACCCTAAATAAAACTGGGGTTCTGTTACTGAGAAGCAGAGAATGGATATTGGGTAGACAACCAGCAGTGCCTGTCACAAATCCAGGTGGCTATTGGATGTTAAAGCTCAAGAAATAAATGTGCTCATAACCTCTATGCCAGCATGAACATCAGATATTCTACCCCATCCCCCCACCATCCCCCGCCAAAAAAATGTTTACGGCCAACTTGTCACTCAAGTGATAGTTTTTTTACTTCGCTTCTTCTAAAAACCCAGTCCTGGAGCATAGAGGAAGGAAGCCTGAATGCTGTCTGGGTTCTATAACCACCACTTGCCTCCCCCGCCCCCCGTTTTCAGTGCAGTAAATGACCATCAAGCCTTCTGCTTCCCGATGACCAAACACCGAAAATAATTTTCTTTGAGAAGATTTTGTTCCACCTAATTTGTGAGTAAAATTTCCTAAGGGCAGTAGTGAAAGGTCTAAGATAATGAGGAAGTCTTCAAACTCAGGGGAACTGATGAGATCTGCTCTCAAAGTTACCATACACCATTAATCAATTGTTACTAGGCAGAGTCATGGAACCCAGATAGAGGTCAATGGATCACATGACCCACCGCAGGCCAAACGGCCAGCATCCTGCTGCTTAAACAAAGCAGAAGTGACTTTGTAACTATTCCCACTTAGCCGAATTCACAACCTATGCTGGTTTTTCATAGCCAGGGTTCAGTTCAGACTGTGGAGAGTCACTGAATAAAATAAAGTCGAAAACCCAGAGGTGGGTGGTAGTGTGTGTGTGTTGAGAGGGGCGATGTCACCAAGTAAACAAGATAAGTTGGCCACATAGTTTACAAGAAAAACAAATTGGAAATAAAAATCACATTTAGCACATTATCCGGTTTAACTTAATGTGTCCTTATTTGAAAATTGCAGGTACTGTTACCCATTATTTTCAATATGCATTGAAATTTAATCTTGTCCTTTTTTTGATCTAAACCACAGAACATGGTACTTTGATTTTTCAGATGCTCTGTAAACTAGCTCCCATTATGTCAGACGTGTGACAGATCCTGCCCTTCTTTGATTTGTTTGTTACTGCTTATGTGCTCTTTGTAAGAGTATCTTTAGATGGTTTTGAAAGGTAGATAAACATCTCAACACCGCCTTTAACTATTTCTTAGCAAAATCCAAAACCCCTTCTCTGTTAGTTCATTCTTCCTCTGATTCTAGAACTTTCTTGGTATTACAGAAAAATATAAATTAAAACAAAAAGTAAAATCACTTATTACAGAGAGCAGGACAATTTTATTTTATAAACAATTCTCTCCTATCTTGGTTCAGCCTGTTCTTTTTAGTCATACTTGGGACAAGACGCTGGGCATAAACCACATTTAATAGAAATACACAAAAGGTGATCCAGAGAAACAAATTGGGCTGTGTTAAGGTTCTCCTTCCATATCCATTTAGATATGGAACAGTTAGTGCTTGGAAGCCCCCAGTTTTAGTTCCTGAAGTAAGAGAAGTCCTCTAATTTGTCAAATAAAAACTTATCCACATTTGTACCAAGGCAGAAAAATCTGTGCGGATCTAATTTACCACAAAAGATGAAGAAGCAAAATGAATCCGTTTAGGATCTCTGGTGTGTATTTTTAGTTTATGCTAAATCTTTTCTAATATTACCAATTCTTTAAGTTCTGGAAGTCAGAGAGCATTCCAATGAAACATTTAGGAATCTTTCTGACAAGGGCAAAAGAGAAGCAAAAGTTAAATCTTACATGCATTTTGACCAGCCTTCCACGTTTAGGAATTTATATTATAAAAATAATCAAAAGAGTACAAATAAGAACATGTAAAATATATTCATCATGTTCATTAGAAAAATACTTGCTAATAGTGAAATTTGCAAGTCACTAAAATGTCCCAAAATAATGGATTGGCGAATTGCATGATGATGCTGCAATGAAATTCTCTGTAGGTATTTGAATTGGTAATGAAGATCACTATTTATTGATATTACAAAGATGTCCACAGTTCAGTGTGATGGGGGGAAAATCAGCTTATAGAACAACATATGCAGTACGAGCTCATTTTTGCACAAAGTGCAAAGATGTAATACGCTAAGAAAAAAGTATTTAAAGGATATGCTCCAAAATGTAAACAATGGTTGTCTTTGGGTTTATTAGGCCATAGACAATTTTCACTTTTTCCACAACAGACAATTCACGTCAAGGTTTTAGCATAATATCTGAATACATAAGGTCCATATGTATTAGGTATTATTCATATTAGGGTTTTAGCTTTATCAGCCATTGCCTCTGATGTGTTTTGTCCCCTTCTAAGTAATTTCCTTTTCTTTTAACAATCATGAGAAAACTATACAAGAAGTGATTTCCATTTTGAGGAAAAAAAAGGCTGGGGGGAAGGTTAACGAGAGGTTCCTGCACCAATGCCTGCCATCCCATCTGGGTTAGTGACATGCGTGTAAAGGGCTAAAAAGAGAGGCGGAGGGAAAGTGAGAAGGAAGGCTTCGCCACACTAAATGAAAGGCAAACAATATGCATATCAGCATCCCAAGATATACCACTCTACTGGGAAAACCCAAGACAAAAGAATTATCGGACACAACAGTTCAAAGCATATTGCACCTGTCAAAACGTCTGTCATCTTCTATAGAAATTCACCATTCTAAGAGAGAAAAGGGAAACTTTCGCAAAGTCACTCAGGAACAACAGCTTACTTTGTCTCCTTCCTCTGGCCAACTCCTCCATCTGAAAGCCATTTAGCTCCATGCTAAAGCTTGCCTGGAAGGACCAGACAATAGGAAGGTCTCTTTCATTGTCAAGGACAATTACACTTTGAAGATGATGCTCAAAAGAGGTTAAAATGGGTCAACAAGCAATTGTTGGGCCTGAGCAAGGACATGTGAAGAGGACATTGTTCAAGTCACAAATGAAAAAAATCTCGATCTCAAAGAATTTAACTTTAATCTAGAGGAGGTGTGGGAAGGAAGGAAGTAACAGGCAATACTGATTTCATCCCAAAGAAGAATTAGGAGGGGAGGGGATCTACCCCAAGAGGATTAATTAATAGACAGTTTGGGGATGATCTCTGCCATCCCAAACACGCACCCACACTATGTATGAGAAAGATAAGTGTAATTTAAGGCAAAGTGAGAAAAACGTGACTTTTCTAAAAATGATGTAAATGCAAGTGGTATTAATTCTATGCTGGCTATTACATTTGTTAAGTTTAATTTTCTGGATGTGCTTCGGGAACTATGTGTGGCATCTAGTCAGATGATAGGTAAGTGGCTGGGTGGGTGGGTATATTTAAACAGTAGTTATTTCTTTTGTGCAATTTCTTAGATATCTTTAAAAGGCAAGTCTCAAAATCCCTCTGAGAAAAGCTGATCTAGAGAGAAGCAACAAGGCAAATCTGTGTCAGCCCACCTAGATGCCTAGGTTTACAGTCTGGGTCTGCCTTGTTCAGGCCACGTGACTCTGGACAAGCACCTTAACCTCACTCCTGTCGGTCACCACCTGTGTAAAGGGGATAACAACAACAGGCCAGCAGGAGTATCGGGAGGATTAAAGGAGAGACTGCATCCAGGAGAAATGAAAATGCATGTCTACACAAAAACTTGTACACGCGAGATTATCACGGCATTATTCATGAGAGCCAAATAGTGGAAACAACCCCAATGGATAAACAAAGTCTGGTCTAGCCACACAATGGAATATTATTCTGCCATAAAAAGGAATAAAATACTGACATGCTACAACATGGATGAATCTTGAAAAACTATCTTAAGGGGAGGAATCCAGTCGCAAAAGACCACATATTATATAATTCCATTCATATTAAATGCCCAGAATAGGGAAATCCATGGAGACAGAAAGTAAATTAGTGATTGTTTGAATGGGCTGAGGGGTGGAGAAGAAGGGGAGGATAGAAAGGTGATAGATAGCTAAAGGGTATAGAGTTTCTATTTGAGTGAGTGAAATGTAAAAGTTACTGTGGTGATGGCTGTACATATCTGTGAATATGCTAAAAACCAGTATATTGTATACTTTAAATGGATGACTTGTATAGTATGTAAATTATATCTCAATAAAGTTGCTAAAAATAAATAAAACAAACCAATCAAGAATGATGGACAAATCTTTGTGGCAAAAAATAAAACAAAATACTTTTTTTAAAGGATGGGGGAGAGATACTACAATAAAGCAATCAGAACAGTGCTTGGCACAGAGTAAGTACTCAATAAACACTGAGTATCAGTAATTCTTTTTGAGAGTAAGTATAAATCATTGTGAAGAGTTTTGGGAAAGCTTTGGAAAAGAGTACTGTTACGTAGTGTGACTAATGGTAAGACTGAAATTTCCATTTTAACCTTAAAATATTCATCTTTAAAGATTTTGCAAACTTCAACCTTATTCCCTGAAATCTAAAGACAATCTATTCCTCAGTAGTCTATTCAAAAGGTAAATTTCAAAATACAGTGCAGCTTTTTCTCTTCCTTAAAGAGTTTGATATTTAAGTACATTAAATTATTTATGATTGTCAGATCTTCTTTAAGCTTTAGAAACTGACTAGCTACAGAATCAAACATCAGAAAAGTGAGAACGTTCATTCATTCTGAAATACACTTACAATTGAAATCATTCTTTAAAAAAAATCTTTGGACTATTTTCCAAAGGCCACACACATTATGCCTAGATAAAAAAAAAAAAATAGCTGTTGTCAATTTTCAAAATCTCAAACAATTCAAAAAGATAAAAATGGTAGATTCACTCCTATGCCCCACAAGAACCCAACTCTTCTCTCCTTCCATGTGTCAACATATGTGTCTATTTATAGATCTACAGGTACGTTTCACTTTATAAATTATCCATGCCTTTGGCCTTGCTCAAAGGTGAATTTACTAAGAAACTAATGAAATTTAAGCTTCAGGGCTCCTATTTGCAAAAACCCTTCCAAGGCCCTCTACCTATGTTAATAATTTTGTATTCTTTTTCTTAAAGAGGCCCCCTCAAAATATATAAGCTCAGGCTCCACAAAGTTTGATCTGTCCCTGGTTGCTACTTCCTGCACTACCCATTACTTTGTCCTTTCAAATCCTACCTCTCCAAAATCAAGTTTAAATCCTACTATGGGAGGCCTTCTATGATTACTCCAACCCAAACTGACTTCTTTCTCTAAGTTTTTGCTGCACTTATTCACTAGACAACTTCAAAATCCTTTTGCCAAAACTCTCCAGGTCAATTAAGTTTTTTTTTGTATATTATTGTGCACAAGCTATATATTATGTAATGGTGCATAAATCATGTATTACATAACACTGTCCCATCAGGATCCCAAGTAACACCCCATAGTCAATTATATTAACACATCTTCATCAAAATACATAAATATTCACACTGAGTTAAAGGCTATAAATAGCCTCACTTCAGTTTGGGTGATACTAACACCAAATGAGTTAGAAAAGAACTTTCAGAGATTTTGGATTTTGGAATTATGGCTAAAGGATCATAGACTTGAACCTTATTGTGTTATTATTTCATGTCTCATCAGTTAGGTTTTACTTGACCAAAACGGCTCTTCACCATTATATCCCCAGTGGAAGGTGTCTGGCATATAAGTGGGTGTTTAACACATTTGATAGAATGAATGAATCAATGAAAGAACTAAGTTTTATACTAGGTTGAGCTTGTCAAGGGGAAGGATTGTGTCCTTTTCAGTTGACATTCACAATGCATGCTGGTGCCCATAGTGTCTGGCACATGGAGAATACTCAACGCATGCTGGTTGAGTTGAATCACACTTCTCAAATCTCCCACAATGACTACCTAGGATATTGATCCCAATATCACTGACTTACAAAATCAGATTGATTCCCGTAGTGGAGGGAAAACACCAGTTGCAGGATACGGAGGTGAGTAGTAAGAGAAGGAGCCTAGACATGGCAAAAATTTGTTGTGGGAAAAGTATTGATGCAGGTGAAAAGACCTTGGACTGTGCAATAGGGAGGCCATATACCTTAAGAATTCTGGAGCATTTTTCTTAAGGAAAAGTAGTCTCCTGAAAACAACTTCTTTCCCGGGTCTCTACATGACAGAATCCTCAACATCACAATGGTATTTACAACATTGCTTTATGCCTCCCCGCCCCCGCTGCCTTGTCTGGGTAGTTTCAGACTTTTATAGATAGTCGGGATAAAAGATTACATGTGATAGTAGACACTGCCCACTGTCATTCTATACTCTACGCTGAACTCTTCTAAACTGGGGGTTCTAAATGGAATATTTTGTTGAGCTGTCAACTGTCTACATTGTTTTTAATAGAGAATGACTGTGAGCTTGTGTGCTGGGGGCAATCACTGAACAAATTGCTGTGTCTCTCTGTGTTTGTTTCCTTGTCAGTAAATGGGATACTGCTGTACTACGTGCCTCATAATGCTGTGATGAAGGTGAAGAATATGGTATATAAAACTTCTCAGAGAGACATGATCACCTGGTTACCAGAAATAATATTCACTGTCAGTGTAAGGCAGCTGGATCTATAAGCCTGAAATTAGCCCTGCATAACTGATGGTAATATTTATGCTAATTGTTGTTGATATTAACATCAAAATAATTATTTGCATTTGCATAGTGATCTTGCTTTTCAAATGCTTTGATTTGATAGCAGACTTGTTCCCCAAGTATCCTTTGCAGTAAACAAAACACGTTATCCCAATTTAACAGTGAAGAAACTGCAGCCAAAGGATGGAGTGACACTAAGTTCAGGTCACGCTTACAGGAACAAATTCTTGGCTCTTCAGACCCAGGTCAGCCCCAGCACCTTAGCTCTTCATTAGTTCTCCCTCTAACAGCCTTCCATCCCTTCCACAAGGCTGATGTGGGTCAGCTCCAATAACCTTGGAAAGTGCTTCCGTCTTTAGTAAAACCTCAAAACCACCTTCCCTTTCTTGAGTTTCTGAGACTTCATTCACAGCGAGGATGTTGCTTCAAACAAAAAGAACGATGTGATGATCATCTCTGACCCCACTCTGCTCTTCAAAGTGTTCGAACATATCATATGTCATCAACTCCCAGCTATCACCTCCTACTCTCCACTTTGTTATAAGGAGGAGACGGCTATAAGTAGAGTTTCTATATTGACCTCACTTAGGCACCAATAGCATGGAATAAAAACTGATTTATATATGATATCTGTATGAGGTGGAATACACACATTCACATGTACATATATTAGCTCTAATGATACAGAACGTAATAACGCAGCTTTATACACAAACAATATTGTATAATATATAACAATACAGTTTGTAACTTATGTATATATAATTATAAGCTTCAATATATACATGTGTATATAAAATTGTTAAAAATAAAGCTTTCTCATCTGTGAAGTAGCGATAATGACATCAGTAACTACTTCATGAAGCCGTTACGAGGACTAAATGAATTAATATATCCTAAATGCTTAGGACAGTCCCTAACATAAAATACATACTCAGTAAATGTTATCTGCCATAATTATTATTTTACAGAGTTCCTCACTTGTAAACATTATTCACTAGAGACTCTCCTAAATATTTCATTTCTTCAATGTACTAATTTTTTAAATTTATCACTATCTATTTTCCAGTGCAACTTTCAGAAAAACATTTTTTTCCCTAAAATGACACATTATCTTCCTTAGAAAACTGTTGTAGTATGTGGTAATAAATGTCCCTTAAGTCAAACCACATATCCCTGAAGAAATAAAAGCAAACTGTAATTCAGAACCTTAGCAACAATTATTTTATACCATAAGACCTCGTTCTAGTCCTCAAGCACACACACATATTATTTATTTCCTAAAATTGATGTGTACCCAATTATAACTGCTTAAATCAGCACTATTTTCAGAAATAATGACATTGGGAAAGATTTAACTATGTTTACCTTGGTGCATTTGTGTCTACGTTCTAGTGTCATTCAGAAAGACTTGGACACCTGTAGCCCATAACTATGACAGTCAAAGCCGAAAAAGCTCTTCATCCATCACTATCTAAGCTATGGTCATGGTTAGACCAACTAAACTCCCAACCATATGCACCCAAAATGAGGAAAATTAAGATAGCTCTTTACATTCCTCCAAGGAAGAATGGACTCCTGGAGGTATTTATGAAGGGCTGCTTTCTTTAGCTCTGATTCTTACTTCACTTTTTTGAAAAGAAATCCTTACCTTGAACCCTACCAGTTTACATGGATTCTAGTACATTAAGAATAGAGTTCTGAGCAATGTTTTCTCAACTGTGTTCCACAGGACACTAGCGCTGCAAGGTATTGATAGGCGTTATATTTTTAAAATACATATACGTGTACACACACACACACACACACACACACGTCGGTGTTCCCTGATCACATAAAACTGGGATACACTGGGTTAAACAGAGCTTATCAGATTTTTTGCCATGGGATTTTGAGGGATCCTTAATATATTACCATGACTTTCTAAGTGGGAGCATCGTGGCCACATCTCCCAGACATACTCATCTATAGCTTCTCCATCTCACAAAGCATCTTTCTAATTCTAGTGTTCCATAGAACACACTTTGGGAAATTGCTTTAGAATATCATGTATCACATATTTTATATCTGTTGCTTGTATCCCTTTTCTCAAATCTGAGCAGAATTGCTTCTTCTGTACTGTATTTTTTTAGTAAATTCACTATTTTGTATTTCCACAGGTGAGGAAATCCATCTACTATATATCAAAAACATTTTCTATTCCTGCATTTGACCATTATAAAATTTTGGTTGTTTTATAATCACTTAAAGCAATGCTCTCTTGACCTTAAAAAAAAAATCAATTGTGCTAACTCATAATTAACATATCCCAGAATCAAAATTTTACATAAAACCCACGAGTGTGCCCACCCACTTCTCCCTAACCAAATGACATGAAATTGAACTTACGGTTGTCGCAAGAACTCTGGTGAGCAGATGCCATTATATCCTCAGGAAACCATAGCAACCACCATTGATAACCCGTACATTCTTTTATCTAAAATCAGGCTAATAAAAATAAAAAAGCATATTTATTATAAAATCATATTAATCTGGAACAAAAAAAGCGCTAGTTTGGGGATACATTTTTTTTTCTTTTTTTTTTTGCGGTATGCGGGCCTCTAACTGTTGTGGCCTCTCCCATTGCAGAGCACAGGCTCCGGATGCGCAGGCTCAGCGGCCATGGCTCACGGGCCCAACCGCTCCGCGGCATGTGGGATCTTCCCGGACCAGGGCACAAACCCGTGTCCCCTGCATCGGCAGGCGGACTCTCAACCACTGCGCCACCAGGGAAGCCCTGGGGATACATTTTTTAAGTGCATTACTCCTAGGGAATAATATTCAAAAACAATCAAATCGTCCTCAAAGGATTAAACAGACTTCTAAATGTTAAGCAACTATCAGGTATAACATTTCATTTCGATTGAAACTTTAGACAGGAGGACATCTTAAATATAGACATACTACATATAGTATACACATAGTAGTATATAGGCATTTTATATATATATATATAAATCTCGAACTGAAGGGGAAAGTGCAGTAGGATTTTACATGTATCAAATTCTATGAATCCAAGCCTGTGGGAAAATTGCAAGAAACTTGAGTGCAAAACTGCACATGAATGACTTGGTCACATTGATTTGTGTTTCTCTCTGAATGTTGAAAAAAATAACACATTAAAAAGAAAACAAAAAAACTAAACCCATAAAATCATTCGATAAATCAGTCTGCATTGCCTCACAGCGAAAAGCTGCCATGTTTAACTGACGTTAGCCAAAATCAAAAATACTGCCTAAAACCACCAGTTTGATAAAACATTCCCTAAGCATCTCTTTTGCATTAAACTTAGTTCCATGTGTTTCAGAGCCTCCAGAGAGGATCCAGCTTCAGGTTTCTGACATAAAAACCTTAATATAGTCTGAAGAAAATTCCCCTAGGCACATTGGGAGTAATCAAATTTCATGTTAACTATTAAATTACAGACATTCAATTATGTTTTCAAAACCTCTGTTTAGAGACTCAGAAGGCCCTTAGAAAACATCCTTAAACTAAAGCCCAAGTTGGCAAGTGAAACCGTTTACCTGCGAGAGCAAAACAAAGCGGGGTCCTGGCCGTCCCTGACGGCGGCACATTGCGAAGTGGCACGCGATGTACCCCATCCCCATTGTGAGGCACAAATTCTTTGTGACACTGGGAGACACCGCAGAACAAAAATACTATTAGAAATCCTTCAAAAGGAACATTTTTGGCTGCGATAGAGACTTTTGACATTATTTATTAGGTTCAAAACTGCTTCTGTGAAGCCTAACAATGGTTCTGTGGAAACCAGTACATCTGAGGCCCTTTCTGTTGTTCAGGGCAGGCATTGATTGGAAGACGGGCAGCGCTCACGGAACAATTCCCTCGCAGTGGTCAGTGTAAGTGAGCATTCACCCCCGGCCTAGGAGGGGCCTGTGAACAAACCGTATGGAAACGCAGGGGTAGGCAGGAGGGCGGAGAGGAGCAAACCTTGATTAACCTCTTGGAGGGGAGATGGGTGGGAGCACGGGCAAGCACAGGAAGGGACGCTCCTGCCAGACCGCCGGGGAGAGAGGCGTCTGCCCCGGGCCCCCTTTCCCCAGGAGGATGAAGATGCCTGGGGAGCATCTCTGGTGCCATGGCAACTGTGCCCCTTCCCACTGCATTCCCGAATGCACCCAGGAGCCAGCTTTGGGAATCTGGGTTTGCCGGTGCGCCTACTGCGGGTGTCATCCTCTCTTCCAGCTCAAGCTCTGACAAACTCCAGGAGACCCTGGACGAGGCAAAGGGGGTCTGGCTTCTCCCGTTGAGGCCGACGGCAGTGTATGGCCTCAGAGTAAGACCTGGAAGGCAAAGAAAAGCCAGGGTGGTGCTCAAGTGTGTGGAATTTACCTGCCCCGCTGGGACTTAAAAAAAAAAAAAAAATCTCCTGATAAGTGGATGTTTGAGAAATCGATGTTTGTAACGTGCTGAGAAAAAATTTTAAATCCCCTGACATTATCCTCACGTGCTTCCCATATTTCTTTAAGAAAATAAAATGCTATCGATTCTTTTCCTATTGTTTGAAAGCACCTCCTCTCCCCAAAATAACTTTTACAGAATCCTCATAAAACTTTTTTTTTTTTTTTTTTTTGCAGTACGCGGGCCTCTCACTGTTGTGGCCCCTCCCGTTGCGGAGCACAGGCTCCGAACGTGCAGGCTCAGCGGCCGTGGCTCACGGGCCCAGCCACTCCGCGGCATGTGGGATCTTCCCGGACCGGGGCACGAACCCACGTCTCCTGCATCGGCAGGCGGACTCTCAACCACTGCGCCACCAGGGAAGCCCAATCCTCATAAAACTTTTAATTTCAAGACAAACAGTTCAAAACTTCTAAAGAGAGGGAAACAGAAGAATGGGTGACTAAAATAAATCCTCAAATTGGAAATCTGGGGAAAATTTGTGAATGGAAGTTATTCAGATCTGGAAAAACAAACAGATCCGCGGCGCATTTAGACACACTGCTGACAATTTAAAACTCCAGGAGGCAATTATTTCATGACTTTTATTAGAAATGTCAAACTGGGTGAAAATGAAAACAATCAGTGTTTTAATCTGATGTTGGCTCTACACAACACAAACATACACACTAATAATAGATTTGATGTTTTTTCTTTCTTTGCCCGATCATGAAATCATTGTTTCATGTAAAAGATATACAAAAGATATATATATATATTCCACATGCATTTATATATAAGTATGTATTTATATATATATATATATATATAAAATCTTGATATATATCATATGTATACAGTCGTTTGGGGGGTACTTCCCTGGCAATCCAGTGGTTAAGACTCTGCGCTTCCACTGCAGGGGGCACGGGTTTGATCCCTGGTCAAGGAATTAAGATCCGCAATGCCCCGCGCCCTGTGCCCCCCCCCCAAAAATCGTTTTTAGGTAAGAAATCCTGCCCACTGACCTACGCAAAATTAAAGTGTAATTCTTCAGTAGTGTATTAAGGTAACTTAGATGATTTAAATCACTTTCTGTAAACTTTTAAAGGGCTTTGAATAGCATGCAGATGTCTGAAATAGTTGGAGCCACCCAAGGGATCATTGGCAAACTCAAAAAATATGTAGAAGATTTCAAATGCACATTGCCTTCCTAACAGTGGGTGTCAAATGGTATAACACTAAGTATTTCAATTTAGTTCATCACACGCTGTTCTATGTTTGGTATGTACTGGGCAGCTCCCACTACACACTTAACATAACCAAGTCAAACTGTGAAAAATTTTCAGTGATCCTGATTTCTCCAACGTGAGAATTACTTCCTGGAAATAAAGGTAGAATGGCATTTCAATATGGCCAGGTAAATAAAAGCTTTCAGAGAGCCAAACACATTGCTTTGTGAAAACTAGATGCTTAATAACTGTGTGGTGATTTAGATTTACAGCCCTGGCATATGACCCATTCATTGCAAGACGACTCCACCTAAGATCATAGATGTGACTCTGGAATTTAGAGAAACAGAATACAACCTAGACAGAATATGCTGTCCTCTGTCTTGGGACAAAGAATAGGAATTCCTTCCCTGAATGTAATTCAATAATGATGCCTTTTGTAACAAACTGTCTTAGAGGGACAGTTTGGTGTAAGGCAATAAACAGGCTTTGGGGGCAGACCATCATAGATTTATATCCCAGCATATCACCTGGCCTAAGTCTCTTTGTCCTTACCTGAAACATGAGGATTGTATTACCTACTTCACAGGGTTGCTAGTGGGATTAAATCTGTCCATTCGTTTTCTTCATTCATTAATATTTGAGTGCCTGTTATGTGTCTGGCAGTATTCTAGACATTGGGAATACAGAAAGGAATAAAGCTGCAATATCCCTGCACTTATGGAGCATGCATTCGAGTTGAGAAGAGAGGGAGTGGAAGAGAAAGCAGGCTAACAGATAAGCAAACAAAGAAATGTATAAGTGTCAGCTGGTAATAAATCTTAAGGAGGAAAATAAAGTGAAAACGGTTAGGAAAGCCCAACCGTGTAGGTGACATTTCAGTAAAGACCTGAAGGAAGCGTAAAAGCAAACTAAGCAAGTATCTGAGGGAAGAACATAATAAAATGTAAAGCATCTCGTACATAATAAGTGCTCAGTACCTATGAGCTATTATTGTCATATCTGGAATCTTAATATAGGAATGCTCTGACCTGGAGTCAGAATGGAGGCTCGAATCCTCGCTCCGTCCCTAAAGTTACAGAATCTCTGTGGGCCACCAAATCGTCATCTAAACCATGGGAAGATAACAGTTCTTGTCTCAGAAGGTAGCCGTATGGACCATAATTGAAGATGTATGTTCAGATTTTAGCACATTGCCTTATACATAAGACTCAAAATGTGTTAACCTGCCAGCATCCTCAGCATGCCATCATCAAGCCCATCCTCCCAGCAAAGAAGAATCTCTGACTCAGCATCTTGGGCAGAAAGTCTCCCAGCCTCTACTTTACCATTTACAGTCCAGGCAGGACATTATCCTCTAGTTCAAAGAAGGTTCTCCTTTGGATTGTGTCAAAATTTCTCTTTCTTCTATTGGTCAATTCCAACAAACTGTATAAATATGTGCAACAAAATCTACCCAAAAACTTACCTAAAAAAAAAAAAAGCATCAAATCAGTCTAATCCTTCTCCTTCTACATGACACTTCCTAGAATATTTGGAGGTATGCATTGTCTCCTGACATTTCCTCTCCTGCAGTCAGAATATCAGCACCATAAACACCATCATCACAACCGCCATTTAGTCGGCCCTGCTGTGTTCAGGGAATTTTATATCAACAACATCTCTTCAAGGTAGTAATTGTCAGTTTACAGAAAATACTGGGCTCAAAGAACATTTATGGGACTTGATCATGGCGACAGAACTCAATGAAACAGCAGAAAGCAGAAATTTGAGCCCAAGTATTTCTGGTTCTGGGCTCAGGTTTCCCTGATGTCAAAGCTCATTCCTTCTGGTCCATCTTCTTACCTTTAAACCACTCCTCCTGTTACACAGTTTTGAGATACTTCATTTTTATACACATTATTCTGTGCTACGAATTCACACCTTCCTTAATGGGGATAATAACATTATCTGCCTAAGAGGGTTATATGAGGATTTCATAAAATAAAGTGCTCAGCACAGTATCTGAGAGCATCATAAATGGGGGTTGGGATGCTAATGATAATACTTGTCATTATTATTATTATCAGGTGTAATACCTGAATCATTAAACTCTTGTCATCAGCTCACACCTGTGCTCTCCTCCAATACAATACAAAGCAACAAGTAGACTTCCATTAAAGACTGACAACTACAGTTCTTATAGAATGTTCTAGAATAGGACTTACCGTTGGGTCAAATAATTTTGCTGTTTCTATTGAAGTTAAAAATGAAATGTGGCCAACTGAAAAGAGGAAGAAAGAGTTAGGAACCACAAAGTGGTACTCACCAGATGGGACAGAATCTCCCTTGGAATTACAAGGGGGCTGGCTCTGAAATCTCAAGTGCCTGTTGATATGTGTGCCTGTGGCCTCCAGGTGCACAGGATTTACTGAGTGGACCTGAATAGGCGTTTTTGTCATTCCCTGTTCCAGAAATGAACTGCCCCAGGCCTGCCTGGGTGATCCTCTGGCTCCCATATTCATTTCTTGTCTGACTGTGAAGATCAGTGGGGTCTCCTCCCATTCACTGGATGGTGTTGGAGAGGGATTTGCTTCTCCGTGGCTTTCTTTATCGAAAGAAGCTATACTTACAGCAGGAGGCCTGGGGATGCTGGACTGGAGAGCACAGAGCAGTCTTCTATATGTCACTGGAGTCTGAATCCTTTCTGGAAATACTGTATAAGGTAAACACATTATTTTGAAGGAAGGCACTTAAATATCATCTACGAAATTAATGGCAGGAAGGATAAAATCAGGCAACGGATGGATGTTTTTGTTTGTTTCATGTTTCTATCCTGAGCGAACAAAATGACAGAGAAGTCAAGGACCCAGGTGCCCAAGTAGGAGAAGAAGAGGAGGACAAAGGTGTGGAAGGGGAGGGAAAGGGCTGGAAATGCTTTTGTTGAGTTCAAGCTATATTGCAGGCACCGTGTGAGGGCCCAGACATGTTGGTCATTTAGTCCTCACGGGAACCTCATCTAACAAATAGAATTATTATCTCCATATTTTCAGGTCAGAAAGCTAGTTTGAAGCTTATGGGTTGAGTTGTGTCCCCCAAGAAGATATGTTGAAGTCCTAACCTTCTGTAGCTGTGAATGTGACCTTATTTGGTAATAGGGTCTTCGTAACTGCAGTCAAGTCAGGATGAGGTTGTTAGGGTAAGGCCTTAGTCCAATATGACTAGTGTCCTTATAAGAAGAAAAAACTGACACAGACACACAGGAAGAATGCCATGTGATGACAGAGGCAGAGAGTGGAGTGATGTATCTACAAACCAAGGTACCTCACGGACTGCAGCACTCACCAGAAGCTAAGAGAAAGGCATGAACTCTCCCTTAGAACCTCCAGAAGGTGCCAAGCCTGCTGATACTTGGTATCCTGCTGATACGTGGATTTCCAACTTCTGCCTCCAGAACTGTGAGATAATAATCTTGTTTTAAGCATCCAGTTTGGGGTTCTTTGTTATGACAGTCCTTGGAAACTAATATACCCACAATGGTTCAAACTCACACATGTTATCCCAGAATAGTTATTAACAGTATCCCTTTTCACTAAAAGAAAAATTGTTCAGACTTGGGGGATAGAAAAGAAGAAAAACCAGGAGGTGGGGAGGTATGGAATGGGGGGAGGAACGAAGTGGATTTCTTGAGTTCTACTATGTGGCAGAAACCGTGCCAGGACGCAGCAACTCTTAGCAAGACTCGTATTCCCTGCGGTCAAGGTTCAGTCAAGTGGCAAAGATGCCGGCCATGTTAGGTAACAGGACACACTACTCCTAAATCACAGCTTTGCCTGCAGGAGGGGAAATCAAAAGAAATGCCTCCAGGGGCCCCAAAGATAACAGAAATGAGAGAAGAGGTCAAGTAGAAGCAGCTATCAGAAGGGGCCAGCCACAACTCAGTTCTTTTATTGCCCTGAGGGGATGTGGGCCCCATGAAGACAGATTTTTCTGGATTCTCAGGAGAAGCAGACATATGTTTTTTCAATATATGTAAAAACTTCTAATTTTTAAATGTTGGTAACTCACTCGATTTAAAAAAATCTATGGTATGGATGCCACAAAACACATCTGTTCTCTGAATCACCATGGGCCACCAGTTTGCATCTTTGGCCTACGGCCAGCCCTATAAAAGTTACACTACCGGGCTTCCCTGGTGGCGCAGTGGTTGAGAGTCCGCCTGCCGATGCAGGGGACACGGGTTCGTGCCCCGGTCCGGGAAGATCCCACATGCCGTGGAGTGGCTGGGCCCGTGAGCCATGGCCGCTGAGCCTGTGCGTCCGGAGCCTGTGCTCCGCAACAGGAGAGGCCACAAAATGAGAGGTCCGCCGTACGAAAAAAAAAAAAAAAAAAAGTTACACTATCATTTACCTCCTTTCATACCATCTTCATCTCAGAAGATGATTTTCTTAAGTATTCTGCTTGGAGTCATGGGGATGTATTTGCAAGCTCTGTGCATAAGCAGGTTACAGAGTTCTAGAAGTCTCGTCTTCCTCCTGCACTTTAGGAAGACTGAGCTTTTCATTTTAATCTTAACTGCCTGCCCCTTTTCATCATAAATCCCAGAATTTGAAATGGTAGACAAATGTATCAGTCTTTCCCAAATGCAGAGAAACTCCTAGAATCTTTCAAAACAGTAGCTCTGGGACTCTTGGTCCCAAAGGAAAGTCTACAGCCTTAGAACCAATGGCATTTGATGTGCCTTCATTCTGTTGTTCAGATATCAAGAACAGGACGGAAGGGCTGAAGGCACTTTACACACCTTCACATTCCACAAGTTATGGGTTGAAAGAGACCTTAAAGGTCATCTGAGGCTGACCCTCACCACCTTCTTCATCCATCTCTGTTTAAATGCCTCCAGGGCCCCGAATCTCACTACCTCTGCCTCAGAGATTTCATTGCTTATCAGAAAGGCAAATAGGTAACTTTGTAATTGCCATATAAGAGGCACATTTAGATAGATAGACAGAAAGAAAGGTAATACTTTATATAGGTAATATTTATCAAGGTCACCTTATATGATGTTGAGACGGCTGGTGACTATGTCTGTTTATTAGTTATTCAACCAATATTCATTAAGCTCCTACCATATACTAGGTACTGCAACAATGACAAAATCTTACTCAGGTCAACAGAACCCATCATCTTGAGGCTAAATTGACCGGCTGATTTTTGGCAAAATGGAATTCAGCACAGCAACCCAGGAGCCTCCCAGTTTCACAGACCCCTGCATGGATTTCAGGTTTCCTCTATGATACAGCTGCCAGGTTGCCTGAATTGAATAGAACAACCAGTAGTTTGGGCATCAAACAGAGACTGTTGTTAGAAATGCAAGGGCCGTTTCCAATCTCCAATGGCTTTCAGTCTTTTTTTTTTTTTTTTTCAAATTTTCAAATCTCCCCACCAAGACAGTGGCAGAACTTGAGCCCAAGTCCACTGCTCATGATTCAAAGTCCAGGGCTCTTTGTTACATTACCGGGCTGTTGAGTCTACTTCAGTGTTTCCCATTCTTGGCTGCACCCTCACCAATGTCTGGCAGGCTTTGAAAAAATACAGGCACGTGGTCCCGGGGCCCCAGTCTCTGTGGTTTGTTAAGCCCCTTGGGTATTACGATGTGTAATTAGGGAGACACTGGTCTAACTCACTCATCAGAGATGTCAGGTGCTCTTATAAATTGTATGTAGTCCAAACACTCATGAACAATCTAGAGCCACGACCTCAGGTATGTCTTTCTCCTCCAAGCATTATCTCTCTGTGAACAGTCTTCATTTCAGATACCAGCAATACCAGCCACTTGACAACTGGTCTACCCCTTATTTTATTTGTTTTCACACCAGTAAACCCACTTGAGCCAGACCACGACCCTTCAGCTTATTCACTCAGGAGGGGCCTGAGGTCAGAGGGTAAGCATCTGTCCACACCACGAATCAAGCACCAGAGAAGCTGGGGTTGGGACTCAGGTCTTAGATTTCGAAGGAGTTTGGTTTTTCTACTGCCCAATCAATGCCAGTGGCGTCATAAGAAACGTGTGACTATCATGAACTGGGCTTGACGAAGGGAGGGATGCCAATGTCCACAACAACAGCTAGCAAAGAGTGGGTGCTGACCACCCTCCTGGCCATGCCTTAGCCCGCCATCAGTGCCACCAGCATGACTTCTATTGTGCAGAAGACAGGGCACCTTAGACTGCGTACTCTGCCTGAGGCCCAGTGACTGACATCAGCTCCCAGGAAAGCCCACATTCTAACCCCGCCTCCAGACAACCTCTCCCAGTGCTCACTTACCGATGCAACAGGCCAACTTTTCTCAACTACCTGTTTTTGGGCGTTTCTCATCTTTTTTTTTTTTTTTTTTTTTTGCGGTTTGCGGGCCTCTCACTGTTGTGGCCTCTCCCGTTGCAGAGCAAAGGCTGCAGACGCGCAGGCTCAGCGGCCATGGCTCACGGGCCCATCCGCTCCGCGGCATGTGGGATCTTCCCGGACCGGGGCGCGAACCCGCGTCCCCTGCATCGGCAGGCGGACTCTCAACCACTGGCCCATCAGGGAAGCCCGGGTATTTCTCATCTTAAGAAATTCTTCCTGACATTCAAGTTTTGCAGGTTCTTTCAATGTGTAGACAACTCTGACTCTTATTTTGCAGCACAGGTCTTCCATCTGTTGCTAATTTCTTTTGAAATAATATTGTGGCAGACAGGAGATTTCAAGGAACAATAAGATAACCCTCAGAGCTGAATGTACTTCACAAAAACAATTTATCTTTCTCTTGAGCTGCAAAATAGCTCATGATAAATCATGACAGATGCAGATTTATTCATCTTCTATTCATTAGAAAAAGACAAATATGGTAACCCCTGCATATTCAGCCCCTCTGGGCTACCAGGGAGCAGGACGGTGCACCCCATCACACCTGCTTCTGGCAGCTCTCCCTCAATGTATAACTTCTATGTGTTTGATCCCCGCCCTATCTCTTCTGCTCCCTCGGGCTTCTAACTCCAGCATGTTCATGTTACAAAAAAACTAGAGGCACCTGTCCTAGAAGGAGAAATGAAACCCAGAGACAATTAATTCCCCAGAGCTCATCTTGCCCTTAACTGTAGGCATAAATAGAGGCTAAAGCTAATTAATATCATCTCCTGCATATCTAAAATCAAACTTAAACTTTAAATAGGTCTTCAATTAATACTGAAAACCCCAAGGACACACTTTTAAAGGAAAAAAAGCTAAAAAAACACTTGTTAAGGTCACAGCCAGAGACACAGACCCACTAAAAGACCGAGATTAATCATAAGATTATAGAATGTTTCCCTTCCCCCACACCCTATCAGCACACCAACAGGTGTCCAGTATAATAACAGTGGATTCCAGCTGGGAGAGCTACAAGATACAGACTCTCTCAGGAGGAGTAGTCAGGGCAGCCCAAAGTCTGGAAAGGGGACAAAAGTGAGAACACCGGAGAAACCTGAAGCCTCTCGTTCTTACAGCTACAACAAACATTAAACACATCCCAGTACCGAGTCGGGTCCACACAAAAACCCACAGCAAAGATCTGTTTACTTCAGTTCCTATTACCTGATGTATCATGCTTGGCTTTCAACAAAAAGTTATGAGGCATGTCAAAAGGCAAGAAAAAAAAAAACAAACCCGATCTGGAGAGACAAAGCAAGCATAAGAACTCAGC